ATAGTATTGGCAATTATTAAGGCCCCTATATCATGCAACCGGCCTGAACCAAGTCCCGTCACAAGTCTTTCGTGAATCCAACACCCTGAACCATTGAACCTTCAAGCCAACAAGAAATGCTAAATCCCAGAGCCTGAACCTATACTCCCTTTAGAACCTCAATAAAAATACTATTGTAAATGTTCTCTTGGGTTTTATGCGAACAAACATTTAGAAAAATAATTCTTAAGGAGACTACAGTGAACCCCAAACTCCTGAGCCCGAAACCCTAAAGCTTACGAACCACCCAACGTCCTTCTTCTGCGCCCACTTAGCCGTTCCCGGCTCCACATTTGTGGTGTCAAAGCCGCCGAACCGGAAGTTCGTCACATTCCTGGAGGTCATTTACTGGGGTTCTGGGTCAAGGGTCCCGAGAGTTCAGGCATTTCAGGGCCAGAAGACGGATTGCAAGGCTTTGTGTTTCACCTACACCCAAGGCAATAGCTTTAGCCTAACCCTAAACCCTAAACCCTTTTGCCCATTCCGGGCCTCTCGCGAAAGAAGGCCAACCAGTCTTCCGGTTCGCCATTCCGTCGCACGTCATCTGCATTCATCGTAAACACAACGTCCAGCTTGTATCTGAGGACGTGGAGGGTCGGGGGGCTTAGTAAGTAGTTAATAAGTAGAGTTATATAAGTACCCTAAAAGGTATCTGCGCAAAGATCGTATCGTCTAGGAGTGTACGCTTCGGAGGGATCCAATTGCTGCTGGAACCGACATCAACAAAGCTCGACACCCTGAACACTGCACCTGACCAGCTAAGCTCGACGGAACCGAAGAGATCGTGAGACGATTTTCGATGTTTGTTGGTCCCTCCCGCTGCCTTTCGTCAAACTTGAGCGCTGAAGAGATGCTGCCCAAATAGAAGCGGTACTTCTGGTTGGAGAAGACCTCGAATCTTCCGGCTTGGTGCGTGCTCAGGCTTCACGGGCTTAGGGCTCTAGGGATGGAGGGTTCAGGTAATGGAAGGGCCTTGATAGTTAGAATAGGGCTTTGAAGTATATCATACTATAATCATAGTAAGGAACCACCAATCTAGTATTGGTAATTAGCTAGGCCCCTGTATTAGGGCTGGGGGCATGGAGTGTACGGCTCGCCGGCTTTCTCTCCCTCTCTCCCTTCCAGTCCGAAAATTGGGGGTACCTCAGTTTGAGATCCTACTATTTAGGGTACGCGAGTAGGGTCGCCGATTTTCGGAAACTCTCACCACAGCAAATTATTCCAGTGGATCCTCGACAGTGTCCTCTCAGAAACAACTAGACCCGAGAGCGATAACATGCTGGAATGAAGCTTAAACCCCGGCAACATTAAACCCTCAACCCGTTAAAAGCCGGACCGTGGCACCTCGACCATATCCAAGGGCCATTTCGCGATGGAGTCTTCGTTGCGCAGCCCCTCCGAGGCTTCGTAGAGACGCCAGTCTTGCTCCTTCCACTCGCGCCTCTGCACATCCGCGGTGCTATGGCAAAAAGCACTCTAAACCCCACCTTCGTCTAAGACATTCTTGGCATAAAACCACAGAAGAAGTGTCTGCGTCATATTCCTTTAAAGTGACACACAGCAGACAGGATTCCGAAGCGGAGCCCAACCGAGATTCCTAAGCCCGAAAGCCCTCTGCACACTACATTCCTCAGTTGCATCCCGAAATCTGGTACGCCAGGCATCAGTTGATAAATTTGGCCTAAGGCTTCTCGGACTGTCGTGTTGTGTCCGGATGAAGAGTTTCGTTTCAAAGGCATCGCTCGGCGAAGTGCTGAAGAAGCATACGAAGTAATCCTGGTTTGTTGAAGTAGTATAACCAAAAGAGCGCCCGAATGCAGTAATACGTGCTCCGCAGAAAGGCCTCTCTGCACTCACCAAGAATGAAGTTTAGGGGGTCGTTGAATTTCTGCGCTTCCGGAAAACCCCAATACTTACATCGCTACATGGGAGTTTCCGAAAATAGGGGACCCTAATATAGTACCCTAAATAGTATGAGCCTTATTATAAGGACCCCAAAATAGGGTACCCCTTTTTCGGAAACTCCCACATTCAATCCACCACCTCAAAGCCCTGAGCCCTGAATTCAGCACCTGAACGTCTGAATTCTAAAATCCTAAGCCGGCCTGTAAGCCCTTGCCAGCCGCTCCTTGAGCCCTCGCAACCGCTCTTGGAGCTCCGCCGCCTCCGGCCTGGGCCGTTCTGAAAGGGTTTTTTTGGGTTTTAAGGGCTTTATAGATCCCTTAATGGGGGTTCCTATAAGGGTTCCTTTAAGGGTCCCTGTAAGGGATCTATAGGGTTTTAGGGTTTAGGGTTTATGGTTGAGGGATTTAAAGGGTTCAGGGGATCTTAAAGGGGTTCAGGGTTTAAGGGCTTCTGAAAGGGTTTACCCGGACCCCCTTTGGAGGATCTAGAAAGTAGATCCCCTAATTTGGGGCCCTATACTACTCAGGGTACTTTATAGGAACTCCTTTGAGACCCAGAGACTCCAAAACCCATGAATTAAGGACTATACCTTAAATTATATTAGGGAGTCATAGGGAATTCTATTTGAAGGTGTATTCCTGAATTAAGGGGTGTTGGAGTCTCTGGGTCTGAAAAGGGCTTTAGGGTTTGGGGTTGAGGTTTAGGGGTTCAGGGGATCTTAAAGGGGTTCGGGGTTAAAGGGGTTCTGTCAGGCTTTCTATATGGGTTTAGTGGGTCTAGGCTTCTCTGGCTTCTTGGAATCTTGGGAGATTGTGCGGATTCCTTTTCGGGTTCCTTCAAGGGCTTTCGTTTCTCAGAGTTGCTGCTGGGGTTATTATAAGAGCTTTAGGGGTTCAGGGGTTTAGGGCTTTGGGGGTTTAGGGCTTTAGGGGTTTAGGTTTAGCAGCGTCGGCATTCTTACAGGCCATCCCTTCATCTAGGTCCTCCTCTTTAGGCTTCCTCTAAGGGTTCCCTAAAGATCCGATGAAAGAGCCCAGAAGCCCACAAACCCTAAAGCGAGACCCTAAACCCTCCTCACACCCAAGCCCCTACACTCCTCCTACACCCCTACACTCCAAAACCCAAGAAGCCCGAAATACCCTAAACCCCGAACGCTAAATCCTTGAACCCTGCTTGCCTTGACATGTCATATAGCCGCCCGAATGTATACAAATGATATTCCTTGGGCCCCCCTCCCAAGGCTCCCATCCAGTCATGAAGGCCCCTATATTCACATCTCTACTCCCGAGCCTGGAGACCTAAAACAAAACCCGAAGATATACTAGGTTGGCCCCTTAAAGCCTCTGAAAATATTCGTAAATAGGGTCCTACTAAACCCAATAAGGGAAAATATAAAATGTCCCAAAGGCCTACCTAGTAGATAGCTTGTAGGGAGCATGTTGCACAGAAGTTCAGCCACTACTGTAGTCTTTGTTCGCTTAGGGGCATGCTATGCCAGATCTAAACCCCCAGACCTTGAAAACGCAGGCCGAAACCCCTGACGCCCTAAAATCCTTCTCCTTCACGGCCTAGCGGCGCCAACATGAGGCGCAAAAAAGGCCCTTTTTGTCCAGACGGCGACCCGAATTGAGCCCAAACTCTGCTTGTAATTCAAGAAGACCTGTATCATTGAAGGGACCCAACAAGGTTGCAACATCATCCTTGCATGATGTGGGAGTTTCCGAAAATAGGGGACCCTAATATAGTACCCTAAATAATAGTAGGACTCTTGCTGAATAAGGTATCCCTGATTTTCGGAAACTCCCATGTAGCTCTTTTAGGCCTGAAATCCCGAACTCTGCTTGGAAACCCTTCGAGCCTCGAGGAAAGCTTTAAGGCTGGGGGAAGGGGATCGGGGTTGCAGGGGACCCCAAGCCAGACAAACCCTACTTAAAGGGTCATGGGACTTAGTAACTAGGGTTATAATTAAGGTAACTATACTTATAAATACTTATAACCCCAGATAAGGTACTTATAACCCTACTTACTAAGTCCCATGATCCTCCGAGTACGGCATGAGACCTACAAGCCGAACCGTGACGCTATGGTACACATCGGCAGGTACTGCACCAGACGTCGGGTTGTAGCACTTTTAGTGGCAGGAAATGGGGGATGCCGACGAGACATGAAACTTGTATACACCCTGGATAGTAGGATCATTTTCATAATTATGCGCCAGGCAGAATGCAAAATTTCCGAAGCACCCTAGATAAACGACATGTCGATAATCATGGTAGTTTTGCAGGAAGTTTGACAAACTCTCAACCAGAAGCACCCATCCCTCACACTCCTGTCGTAAAGCCACAAACCGCCGCAAGAGACCCCTTCAAGTGCCCGCATAGTATTTTTTAAAACTCCATGAATTCCTACTTGGCTGGGCGGCTATAGCGACAAAGATAACCATGCTCGGGCAAACATCTTGGACGTTTTAGTGAAACGCAGCTACAGCTACCATAGCTTGCACCTAGCGACCCCAACAATCCTAAACTGCCCCCAAACCCTACACCCTAAAACGGACAGACAAAGAACACACCTGGGACGTGACACTTTAGCAGACTTAAAACTCCCGCAATCGCGCCCTGAAGTATCCAGAGACTGCAAGCCCCCTTTCACTAAACAAGCGACCTTGCATATCAGAGGGTTCCACTTATGATTCGACTTATCTTCCATATGTACTTGGATGGTCGGGGGACTGCGTAAGAGACTGCATAAGAGGTTGGGTTATGGTACGTATCAGTGTATAGTATAATGACTACTTTGAAAGTCCCTCCACCCTCCCAGGTGAAACCTGTCTAGAAACCCTATACGACATGTGAAACCCTTTCAACCTGAAGCCACATCTACCTAGCCACTTTCGAGAGGCAACACCTAAAACTATGCAAACCCACGGTGAAGAAACCCCCTTAATCGAGGGTTTAGGGTTTAGGGGTTCAGGATTTTGGGTTTAGGGTTTAGGGGTTTCGGGTTCAGGGTTTAGGGGGGGGTTTTGGTCTGGAGGGTAGGCGCAGCCGAAGAGCCGTCACCTCCAGTAGGAGTGGCCAGGAAGGCCTAAACAGGACAGCTGAAGGATTGTACTTAAAGGGTCATGGGACTTAGTAACTAGGGTTATAATTAAGGTAACTATACTTATAGTTACTTATAACCCCAATTAGACTACTTATAACCCTACTTCTAAGTCCCATGATCCTCCAAGTAGGGCTTTGTGGTTTAGAGGTTTTTAGGGTTTTAGGTGTTTACGGTTTAGGGTCTCAGGTTTTACGGGGTGTAGGGGTCTAGGGTTTTCGGGGTATAGGGTTTTAGGGCTTTACGGTTTTAGGGTTCTAAGGGTTTTAAAGTTTTAGGGGTTTTAGGGGTTTACGGTTTAGGGCTTTGGGGTTTAGGGTTTGAGGTCTGCGGGGTGTGAGGTTTAGAACTTTTAAAGCTTAGTTCTTTTCAACAAGTTTCTTGTGTAGTCTTCAATGGTCGGGGGTTTCGATTCAGGGTTTGGATCTCCGGGATTTTGGCTTTCGCATGTTGTGCATGAGCCTTCGCGTGTATTGAGAAAGGATCTGATGGGCAAAGAAGCATTGGCGAGGTTTCTGGAACTTCTGTTGATGGACAAAATCCTGCATGACCTTAAGGACCCTAAATTCGCCTCGGCCCCGGCCGAAGCGGTCAGAGGTTCCTATTCGGATTCTCCTATTCCCCACCTCTTAATCCCCTCCCCAGCGACCCCACCCCCAAAAACGGGGCCCGCTGACCCCCCCCCCCCCCCCCCCTTAAAAATGGAAACGTGTCGACTAGCCCCAAGGTCCGGTGGTGAATTCTCGCCCCCTCCAACGGTTTTGGCCCCTTCCCCCTTCCCTCCCGCCCCTCCTCCGCTCGCTGACAGGTGCGAGCTTTCGGGAGTTTTCGACGACACGGGACTGCAATGTAGCATGTTTATGTGCGTCTCAGGCTTGTTTTTAGACGCCCTTTCGTTGGGATAGGCGGAGTAACGTGGTTGAAAAGGGTCTGATGCTTCCCTAATCCAAGACGCCCACGAAATCCACAGCCTCAACGGCCCATACTTAAGGCATCCCGCCGCTTGCGAGAGTCTTGGTATCCAGTGTTTCGGAATGACGACACCAAAATTCGTACTGATACTACCACTACTAATACTACTCACAATCATCCTGCTTCGTGTTGCTATGAACATTACTTTTACTCTAAGTGCGATTCCAACTGTTACTTTTTTCCTAAGAGCTTGCTGCAGATAGTAGCCACTCGCCGCATGCGCGTACAGCCGGGCCGAGGCGGACGACGCGCAGCGTTTCAAATTATGGGAATTATGGTATATTCCTTATTATGGGTCATGCAGGATTTTGTCCATCAGCAGTATCTGTACGGATGGGGCGGGTTAGAACTCAGTGGTCTACCTCAAGGCCCTGCTCCCTTCTAAACCGTCATGACAACTTGAACCCCTGCAAACCTTCACAAACAAGTTCTTCATACATGTTCCAGATGAGCATATCAAGCTCATACACCATGGAGGCCCGTTGAAGCCACGATGTAAATACGGTTGATGGTATAAATCCTGCATTACCCATAATAAGGAATCTACCATAATTTCCCTAGTTTGGGGTCCTTAAGGTAATGCAGGATTTACATCATCAACCGTACCAGGCTAACCTTCAGAAAGTTGGAATATAATTTCAGGGTAGGGTACCTTATAATTTACCTGAAAGGGCTTACGATAATCATATTCCAACTTTCTGGCTTTTACTTTTAAATACCAGGCAACCTCGAATCGGGCTCGAGGCCCGATGGGAAGCTTATTTCCTGTAGGCTTTCTCAGAAATGACCTCGACCCGGGGCCTGGAAGAATGAATCATCCCAGACACCTTCAGAGAAAGAATCGAACAAACAGAAGATCCCAAAAAGCCATCCTACGATTGTGTGGATGAAGTATGAAGATTGTGGCTGCTTGAACGTCTTGTTTGTGTGCTTTGAGGGGTCGCAGACCTTTTAGTAATAGACCGCCCGTGCCCTGATGCACCCATCTCCTTTCGTACAGGGTCCAAGGAAGGACTCAACCGTAGCAGTAAGCCTACTTAAAAGGTCATGGGACTTAGTAGCTAGGGTTATAATTAGGGTAACTATACTTATAAATACTTATAACCCCAATTAGGGTACTTATAACCCTACTTCTAAGTCCCATGATCCTCCAAGTACGAAAGACGCACCTCGCCCGGGGGCTTCTGCAGCTGTCGCCTTACCAGTCCTTAAGAGCTCAAAGTGAACGGAAGGCTTTATTTTGGGGGTTCCTTATTATACTGATGGAAAAAGAAGCCCCAAAACCCTACTCCAATCGATTAATCCCCTATATTAAGGGCTCACGGGTTCAGGCTTTCAAGGGCGTCGGGTTGTGCGACTTTGGGTTTTGGGGCTCCATGGTTTCAAGCGGTCTAATCAGAAAGCCTTGTTATTCGAACAGGGTTTTGGGTAATTGTGACACGGAGGCCTGAGGAAGAATATTGGTGGTTGTTCAGGCTTCCATAATAGGCCTTTTTAGGATCCAGGGTCTCGGGTTCATGTTACCAAAACCTCCGTGACTTCATCGAGCTATACAGCGTTTCAAGGGGTATACAGACTCTTGTAAGGAAGATATCGGTGCTCTAAATACAACCCAGCAGAACTAAAAATGACACCCTCTCGACTACTAGATAAATGGGAGTTTGCGAAAATAGGGGACCCTAATATGGTACCCTAAATAGTAGAATCCCTATTTTAAGGACCCCAAAATAAGGTAACCCTCATTTTCGGAAACTCCCAAATCCTGAACCCTACGGCCCACGCGTAGGCGGTCCGCAGGCGAGGCCTAGCGCGCTTATCAGATGCCTGCCTTACTATGGCAACTTAGACCGAATTCCTAAGCTTCGATACCTTAAGCACCGCTGCTCCAGAAAAACGCAACCCCTACAGCTTACACAAACCCTGAGAGAGACCTGGTCGTACATAACCATGATTGAAGCCTAAACAAACCCTCCACGAAACTCAGCCTGACACAGCCGAAGGCACTTGGTGCCATGGGCTTGCCTTGCAGGCGCTCCTGCAGATGAGCTAAGCCTGGAAGTACATAGAGTGGCCGCAGTCCTGATACGTCATTCGGTTGCAGAAGACTTTGCAGAGTTTCGAAACAGGGGCTTCTAGGTTCAACATGCTTGTCGGCTTCTTTTGATTGAGGAATGCATACATGTATCATGTTGGTGATCACTCATGGGTTTAGTTAACTTCGCCTAAACTCTGAAGCTCCAATATCCCCGAATTACTCAAGGAACCCGGAAACACCTGGGGTCTGGCCGCGAGCCGGGTGCATCGCAAAAATGCCCCAAAACCGGTGGATGTAGACAATATCTTAATCCCCCAATAAGCCACAAAAATGGAAGGCTGAACTTTTCGATTCCTACTAAATTATAAGAACCCCAAAAGTTTAAAGGTCGGGTATTGGGGATCACAGTTGCCAGGCAGGCAAAGGTGCTCGTGTATAGTCCTTGTCGGCGTAGGGTGTCCAATTTGCCCTGCTGGCCTGAGAAGTATTCATTTGGCGTGCTATCTCCTCGTGAGCTCTGGGTGCACCTTTCTTCTGCAGCCGCTTCGCCAGGCGGACTTGAAATGTCGCACGTCCGGAACCCCCATCTTTGCCTGGCCTTTCTGCCTTTGATGCCGCAGCCAACTGGTTTTTGCTTACTCTTGCAAAAGCAACTAGCCTTAACCCTTCTTGGGTACCCTAAATATTACCTGCCGTATTATATTAAGGACCCCAAAAAGGCACCCGAATATCAGCAACCGCCCTTCAATCCAGGAATACACTTTGAATCGGACAGGGCTCCTTGTTATCATGTAAAGGTACTTAAAGGGTCATGCGACTTAGTAACTAGGGTTATAATTAGGGTAACTATACTTATAAATACTTATAACCCCAGATAAGGCACTTATAACCCTACTTACTAAGTCCAATGATCCTCCAAGTAACTGTCCAGGCGGGACTTGCCCATGATGCTGGACGCTTCGTGCTGCTAACTGTTGATGATATAAATCCTGCACTACCCTAAGGACCCTAAACTATGGGAATTATGGTATATTCCTTATTATGGGTAATGCAGGATTTATATCACCAACCGTAACTAGGTCTTCAATTGCTAGGAGGCCCGATTTCTGGGGTCCTGCGGTCTTCTGAACAATGGGGCTGTTGATTTCCCGTATACTGACCCTAAGCCCGCAACCCTGAAATTGCACGTTGAAGGATGAAAGGCTCACTAGTTGGATGCAAATTACTACGTCGGGATCGGAATATTCGCTGTTCATATCCCCTTATCGCCTATCTCATTTGTTGCTTTAAATCCCCATTATTAGGGTGTGAGAAGGGGTAAGAGTTTCCAGGGCTCAAAATTTGGTTCGATAGACAGGGCTGTAGGGTTCAGGGCTCAGGGCTATGTGGCTCTAGGGTTCGGGGTTGAGGGCCTACGCTTTTCAGGCTTCGGGCATAGTGTTTCGACCTGCTCAACGGGTAAAAACCCCAAAGAGAACACTAAGACCGTTACTTAAGACTTCTAAACACCTTCGTGAACCCTACTTGATGGGTCGGGGGGCTTAGTAAGAGTTCATTCTGCAGTTAGGGTTCATGGATTAAGGCCTGTAGGGTTTAGGGCTTAGGGTGTTCCACAAGCCCGATTGGGATCGCTTTTTGAATACTTATACGTCTATACATTACCTACTTACGAAGTTCTCCCGACCCACCACTTTACTCCCCCAATAAATTTCAGAAATAAAAGGTTAAACTTTCCGATTCCTACTAAACTATAAGAGCCTACACCCTAAACCCAAAACCATAAGAGCCTAAACAGCTTAAAGGTTGGCATTGGGGATCTAAGTCCAAGTACAGTTGTGCGACCCTGATCAGCCCCTCGAAGTCATCCAGTCCTTCCAGGAGCCACCGCACCCAGTTTCGATCTTTCCTCTTTGTCGGCAGAGAGCTCTAACCTACGCTTCGTAGTCAGATACTTTGCGGTTTTAACGGTTGATGATATAAACCCTGCATGACCCATAATAAGGAATATACCATCCCATAGTGTCGGGTCCTTAAGGTAATGCAGGATTTATATCCCTAAACCCTAAAACCCTATAGATCCCTTAAAAGAACCCCTTAAAGGTAGCCTTATAGATCCCTTAAAGGAACCCCTTAAAGGTAGCCTTATAGATCCCTTAAAGGAACCCCTTAAAGGTAGCCTTATAGATCCCTTTAAAGGAACCCCTTAAAGGTAGCCTTATAGATCCCTTTAAAGGAGCCTTATAGGATTTATATCAACAGAAGAACTAGAATAGGGGGGGCTTTGGGGTCGACTCTAGTAGGTGCATTTTCTAGGATTTCTCTCTTTTTGGTGGCCGGAGAACCGGACTGTTGAGGGTTTAGGGTTTAGGGTTTGGATGCACAAAACGTCTGCTATACGTCAGAATTCCTGAGGAGCTCTGTTGAAGTACGCAGCTAATCTACAGAAAGCTCGCGTTGAGAGAAGGATGGCAGGCAAACAAGGCCTTGACTCACAGCAAACCCTCCTCAGAGCTTCATGGCTACAAGGAGCGACGTGAGCAGCAGGCAGTGGTTTTGTTCTGTTATGAGCCGGATAGCGTGCTTATCCCTGTGTCTTAATTCCCTCCAGCCGTGACCGCCCCAAAAAAGCCTGTGGAAGTACAGAAAAGTCTCAAGATTTCCGTTATGGACAGAAAACAGCCGTGCAGACACTTCAAAGGCTTGGGCGTCGCGACCCCAAGGCCAACAAGAAGAATCAAACTGGGCTTTAGGGTTTAGGGTTGAGATGGGGCCTGCTTAAAGGGCTCTCTTGCCGGTCTGAGAGCAACAACATGACATCCTGTGAGACAAATCCACATGCCGAAAATACTGCTTGGAGTGTCGGGGGACTTAGCAAGTAGGAAATAAGTAGCTTGACAAGTACCCTAAAGGGCCCCGGACCCTCCAAGTCATCTCTGAAGACAGAGACAACTCGAAGGTTCATTGGCCGGTGGGGCAGCGAAGGTTTCGGAGGTTCTTCAGGAAAGTTTCTACGTAAGGCTGCAGCCTAAAGTGAGACTATACCTGGACGGCCGATGGACAAAGTTCAGGCAATACTCATACAAAGGAACATACCGTAGCTCCCATAGTTTAAGGCGTTTCTTAAACCATAAACAGGTGCTTGAGGTCCAAGAACCCTTGCCTTCCCCGACGTGCGCGAAAGGCTGACTGAATCCTTGGCGAAGTCTGTCAGGGTGCGTGTGGGCTTTGTGGTTTAGGGTTTGGGTTTAGGGTAGGTTTCAGGGGTTGATATGAGGGCCTAAATCAAATTCGATACTATCTTGGGGGTCGCCACTTTATGCTTCTAGTATAACCTAACCCCAAACCGTATTCAAAGTACTATGGCCCCTTTATTGGGTCTGAGGGTGTTCGGGCTTAAGGTTTTGGGATTAGGGTTTAGGGTTTATGGATTCAGCCCAAGCCTGTTTGAAAGGGGATCCATCTAGACAGACCCTGCTGAAACGTACACAAGGCTTCACGTGGAGATTCGGATTCTTACCATGCTTTGTGATGAGTCTTCTTCAGCCATAAACTCCAAACCCTGTGTCAGCCCAGAAGACTTTGAGGAACACCTGTACAGTTTGGTCTGAGAGTTCGAGATTTTCGGGGCAAAGACAATGGAGGGCTTTAGGCTGTTCGGCGTCTCCAGGAGGGCGACATGGTATCGGGTTTAGCAACCCTAAACCCTGCCCCCTAAAGGCGCTCCATAGCCTCACCGCCAGGCGGCCGTGTCGCAGCAATCTCCTCTCGATCCTGCAGAAGAGGAGGATCTCGGACTCAAGGATTCTGAATCGTAGGGGCCGGGTGCACTCCCAGACCCCCCCTTTGGAGGATACAAAAAGCAGATCCCTAATTTGGGGGTTCCTATAAAGTACCCTCAGTAGTATAGGGCCCCGAAGTAGGGGATCTACTTTCTAGATCCTCCCGGCGGGCTGGGCTGGCCCCCAAAAAGGACTAACCTCCTCTTTAACTATGGTAGGATCGTACACACCCCAAAAGGTTGGAGCTGACGCCCTCATAAAAGCCCTAAGCGTCCACCCTAAACATGGTTAAAAGGTTACTTATCAGGGTCCAGGGCTTAGGGATTCAGGCGCTTGGGGCCTAGGAGCATTGGAGAAGCCAGCGTGTTTCAGTCCGAACATGCACCTGAAGCAGTGATGCAGTCTCTTGGCATGTTTATGTTTAAGCATCGTTAATCTTACCTGATACAATGAAACATAATACAAGACAAATAAAACGAAGCCGTGAGAGTTTGCCAGGGTACCAGATGCGTGTAGGGAGCAGGAACCCAGAGAGCCCAATACCCCTTAATAGGACTTCATATTATGATTTAAACTATATCCCTTAGTTAAGGGGTATTGGGCTCTCTGGGAATAGACCCCCCCCCACCCAGTTGGAGCTGTGGCTAGTTTCGTTGTTGACGGCGGACGTGCTGTGGCCAATGCTATTCGTAGTTGTGATCTACAACCGTGACAAAACCACTGTACTCCAGCAGAGCAAGGAACAGTAACCACATGCGAAATCAAGAGTCCAAAAGCACTACTGGGCGCAGCAAACAGTGGTTTGGATGTGGAGGAAAAGCAATACTTAAAGGGTCATGGGACTTAGTAACTAGGGTTATAATTAGGGTAACTATACTTATCATTACATATAACCCCCATTAGGGTACTTCCTACTTATTAAGTCCCATGATCCTCCAAGTAGCAATTTCACAATGTGCCCCATCACCATGACCCTGCTTGGAGGATCATGGGACATACCTTACTTTCAACATAGTTACCTCGTTCATGACCTAAGCTACTACTACTACTACTACTACTACTACTACTACTACTACTACTACTACTACTACTACTACTACTACTACTACTACTGTCCCATGACCCTGTAGGTGAGCACCTTCATTGTTGGGCCCCTGTCGAGCACCAGTGAGAGAAGGGCCCTGTGCCAGCTCAGAGATTCAGATGGGCTGCCGGTGACGAAGTGGGAGTTTCCGAAAATAGGGGACCCTAATATAGTACTCCAAATAGTCGGATCCCTATTATAAGGACCCCCAAATAAGGTATCCCTAATTTTCGGAAACTCCCAAGTGACAATGCAGCTTTTCGGCGCTCTGCTTCAAATGTGTCGAAGGAAATCGGCCTTTTCTAACAACCCTCTGTGCAAGGTGATGTTGATGACGACAGCGAAAGCCTGATTATAGAACCCTAAAGAAGTTGTTTTCCAAACCCTGAACTTGGCCTTGGACAACCCTGACAAAGCCCTGAAAAGACCTAAACGGCTGCAAACCTAAAAGGAAACATGGCCCTTAAAGACTACTTCCCCAATCCCTAAACCCTCAAACCGGTTTAGCATCTTTAGAACCCCGGGTCTCAAAACCCCAAGCTTGGCCCTAAACTCTCTCCCCCTAAACCCTGAGCCCAACCCGAAACATTCTCCCGACTCTATAGATCCCTTTAAAGGATCCCCGGTCAGGGTGTTTTTTTTTTTGTTGTGGCACCTTTTTGCTCGGGCCCCGTGTCAATGGTTTCTAGAATTCTTTTTGCTGCGGTCCCAGGGCGTGCAAGGTGTTTTTTTTTTTGCTCCGGCCCCGCCGAAAGGCAGGGGAAAGAGCGGGGCCAGAGCAAAAAAAAACACCACCCAGACCCTGCCCCGGAAGGGTCGCCCGGCCCACAGTGAGTGAGTCAGCTTCCGGGCGGGGCCGCAGCAAAAAAAAAAACGCCCCGACGGCGAGCGGGGCCACAGCAAAAAAAAAAACACCATCCAGGGGGTGTTTGTTTTTTTGCTGCGGCCCCGCTCGGAAGCTCACTCACTCACTCTGGGCCGGGGCGACCCTTCCGGGGCAGGGTCTGGGTGGTGTTTTTTTTTTTGCTGCGGCCCCGCCCGGACGCTCACTCACTCACTGTGGGCCGGCGTGACCCTTCCGGGGCAGGGTCTGGGTGCTGTTTTTTTTTTGCTGCGGCACCCCCCGGACGCTCACTCACTCACTGTGGCCCGGGGCGACCTTTCGGGGCGCGGGCCTGGGCAGCGATGCTTTCTTCTCCGCCGGAGTGGTGTTTCTTTTTTTGCTGCGGCCCCCGCCGAACTCGGCGAGCCAATAACAAAAAATGTCTGGTGTACTACATCGGGTCTAAAAAGACCCGGCGGGGCCACAGCAAAAAAAAAAACACCACTTCCAGGATCCCCTGAACCCCTACAACCCCTAAAAACCCTTAAACCTCCCGATCGGCCTCAATTAGACTAGTGCTCCGGGGCCCATTATACTATACATGTACTCAAAATAGTATAGGTAATTTTTTAGGCCCCTATCCTAAACTCTAAACCCAATAGATCCCTTATAGATCCTTTAAAGGTACCCTGATAGATCCCTTTAAAGGAACCCCCCCCCCAAATTTTGTATTGGTAGTTATTGAGGCCCCTATAGTAACCTCTGAACCTTCTCCAGGATATAGAAAATCTAAAAATACCCTAAACCTTAAAGTAACCCTTAAAGAACCCTAAACCCTAAACCCCTAAACCCTAAACTCTATCCCGTAAAGGAATCCCCCAAAACCCCCTATACGATGGGCCTCAGGGCTTCCTCTGGCAAAGGTGAGCTGCAGTGACTCGCCGCTGCCGAGCCTTGGTCCCATTCAGTCTGTGGGATTCAGGGTTTAGGGTTTAGGGTTTAGGTTTTAGGGTTTAAGGTTTTAGGGTTTAGGGTTTAAGGTTTAGGGTTTAAGGTTTAGCGTTTTAGGGTTTAGCTAACCAGTGGTTTTGGGGTTCCCTTGGCTCTTTAGCTCCTTGTTTGATAGGAATTATCATGATCCCTGGCTCCTTAGCTCCCCCAATATCAATGGTTAGTTAGGGTATTGCCGTGAGCCTTGACACCAATCTTAAAACATTTAGGGCTCAGGCAACAAATCCACCGAAAGTTCAAAACAAATCCACCTAAACCCTAAACCCTCAACACCCACCCCCGAAACCCTGGACCCAGACTCTAGACCTTCAAGCCGTATCGAGCCGAAACAAAAGGTTCAGAACTCATACAACAGGATAGGCTCCAATTGTCTATGCATCTGATTTAGCCGAATTGCAGGTGGCTCAATGTGGATGCGTCGAGATCCGAAGCCTCAAAACGCGGGTTTAGGGAGTTCCGGGTTCAAGGGTTGCGGATCGGAAGTTCCGGGTTCAGGGGCTAGGGTTTAGGGTTTAGGGTTTAGGGTTTTGGGGTTTAGGGGAACTCACGGTCCAGTGGTGTGGCCAGCTCTCTTTTTGTTGTTGCTTCTTGTAGCTCCTGCCCCGCCCCCCATCACTGCTAGAATACTTTTACTGCGTGGCGTCGAAAAAGCTTGCTTTGTTCCTTCTGCTCCGCCCTGCGGACGATCACTCTCTCGCGGGCCCCTGCCCTGCCCTTGGGCTGTTTTACGCCGCACCCGCCTCGGAACCGATTCTTGGTTCAGGGCTCTCGCTGTTTCGGGGTGGGGTTTAACTAACGGGGTAGTTCATTACATCCCGACTGAAGCATCCACAACCTTACTTGTTTGGGCAGCAATGCAACCCTAAACCCCTACATACCCTCAGCCGTCTTTAGGTCTTAGTCTGGCTCATCTGATACCAATCCTTTCTGAAACCTCTTCCTCCAGGCCCAATGTTGGGATGTTTAAGTTTATGTAATATTTGGGCCTCCTAACAATTAGACCTAGGTTTGGGGGTAAATTGAACTGTCGTTACCATAAGAAACCCCCAAACTAGTATAGGTACGATCAGAAAGGCTGCACTTGCTTTTCCCAACTTCTCACGTTCTTGCAGGGGCCTCTCGCGCATCCACGCTGAGGAGGAGGTCGCCAAAGCAAAGCCTGGAAGTTGCTAAGAGTTTTGCCACGCCCTACTTATCGGGTCATGGGACTTAGTAACTAGGGTTATGATTAGGGTAACTATACTTATAAATATTTATAGCCCCAAGTAGGGTACTTATAACCATACTTACTAAGTCCCATGATCCTCCAAGTAGACACGTACATAAGGAATGCGATGAACTGCAGCAAGCCTCTACGCTCAGGCTCTAATATCTCAGATCTTCAGGGTTTCTGGGCCATGCTACAGTCATCCGGGGCATTTCAAGCCGTAGACTCAAACCCTAAACCCTTTACCGCACGGAAACACCAATCCTGAACCCCTTAAATCCTAAGCCCCCAGAGAAGCTCTAAACCCTAAATCCCCAAAACCCCCTCCAAGCCCCCAAGGCCCCACACGCTTTGGGACTCCGCTTCGAGCCGAGCAGCGGCTGAGGCGACATCACCTCCGGCGGTTCGAGGCTTTAGCGTTTTGGGTTTATGAGACTCAGGGTTCAAGTTAGAAGCTGCCCCCACTCTGTAATAGTGACTATAAGGATTATATTAGGGACCTATGATATTCCTATTATACCACTATTACTAAGGTTTAGGGTTTAGGGTTTGGGAGACTCAGAGTTTAGGGTTTGGGAGACTGAGGGTTTAGGGTTCAGGGGCCTGTTTGTTATACTATAGTCATAATAAGGAACCCCCAAAGGGCAAGGGATCTATAAGGGTAAGGGCACTATAATGGGAGCCTTAATGATTAGAATAGGTACTTAAAATAAGGAACCCACGCAAATAGTATCGAAAAGGATTTCTGGAGTACTTGTAAGAAATGGGGTCTTTACGTAGCGTCTTTGTTGATGTTGTGTTGGTTTTGAATGGGGCCTTTCATGGCTTGATGCTTCGATTCCTGCTTTAATGGGCTCTTCCATGGTTTGGGGTCGAGACTCCTTCTGAAATAGGGCTGTTCATTGCTGCTGCAAAGCCCGAACGCAATGCCGGAAAACCCCAAAGCCCTACACCCCTGCGAGGCCTCAACAGTACTCCCTCCAAGTAGTACAGAATCCGAAATGTGGACACCCTGACACGAGCCTGTTCCTTGCCCACAATGTAGGGGCCTTAATAATTAGAGTAAGGTTTTGGTGCCTGTTATACTATGATTATAATAAGGAAACCCCCCCAAACAGTATTGTTGATTATTAAGGCCCCTTTTGTACATAGAATGGCAGAAACAACTTCTTGCCAGTTCTTAATTAAGCCTTGAAGGAGTCTGGGCAGAGACTCTAGTGGAACCAAACTCCTAGATGCCCAAACCGCCGAAACCCCTGAACCCAAACAGCTTGAATCCCACACCCTCAACCCCCACTTAAAGGGTCATGGGACTTAGTAACTCGGGTTATAATTAGGGTAACTATACTTATAATTACTTATAACCCCCATTAGGGTACTTATAACCCTACTTAATAAGTCTCATGATCCTCAATGCCCAAAACCTTGTAGATCATGAAGACCCTGGAGAGGAGGTGATGGTGAGGCGGGAACTCCTTGCGCATCGCTTGGCTTTGCTGATGCTTTGAGTACCGGCGGTTGAGGCTTACGGGTTGCCTGAAAGTTGAGAGAATGTTGGAAGTAGGACTGGACGCGCAACCTTTGATGATATATATCCTGCATTACCCATAGTAAGGTATATATACCATAATTCCAACAGTTTAGGGTCCTTAAGGTCATGCAGGATTTATATCATCAACCGAATCACACGGAACAGGAGAACCACCACGAAGAGCAGGTAAGGTCTGGGCAGAATTCAGCTGGGCTTGGTAGGGCGTAATTTGCCAAGGGCCCTTCAAGCTGTATAGGGGTTTTTACTAGCAGACCCGGCGAGCCCAATACCTGTCTGCTGAAACAGATACCGGAGGTCGAATGGGGATTTCATAGCATCTTTACCTGTTTTGCAAGGTTTCTACACGCCCCTCACTTAAAGATGTTGCCACAAATCACAGTAAGGAGCCCTATATAGCTTAAGGTAGATCCCCTGATGAAGGGGTATTGGTCTACTTGGAGAGTCGGGGGACATAAGAATTAACCCGAACCATTGGGACAAAACCCTAAACCCTAAACCCTAATCCCTAAACCCTAAACCCTAATCCCTAAACCCTAAACCCTAAACCCTAATCCCTAAACCCTAATCCCTAAACCCTAAACTTAGTGAGGGGTCGCATCCGTCGAGCGACAGACCCCGAACGACTGGTCGAGGGCTTACAGCCCGAGCACCCATGCGAAAAGAGAGACGGAAAGGTGAGGGTAAAGCCTCACCGCCTGTCCTGGACAGGCCAACGGCTATTGGCCTTGCTTACGACAACGTCCAGCCTCGAATAGGGCTGGCCGTACCCAGACCACCTTACGTAGTTAAAGTATAACCCCAAAGCCTGCCCCATTTTGCTCTGGGGGCCGACCTGAATCCTGAACCTGTCCTGCCTGCCCCCCCTGCCCTGGCCCAGGCTCCGCCTGCCGGCCTGCCCTGCCCCTCTCTGCCCTGGACCTGGGCCTTCCAGGCCAGTCCGAGGGCGGGTCCTGGCCAAAAACGCTTGTCGGGGGTGGTTTTGACCTCCCCGCCTGGCCCCCTGGGCCGCCTGGCTCCCCCCTGGCCTGGCCTGCCTGCTGACCCTCAAGGGGCCTTGGAAATGGCCTCCTGTGCTTTTGCGGGCTTCGCGCCCATTTCTTTCCTCGGAAGCCGGAAATCCGTGAAAATCAGAGGGGCCTTGGAAATGGCTTCCGGAAAAGGAGCACGTACTGCATTTTGGCGCTTTTGTGGGCTTCCCCCCAATTGGGTGCTTTGGAAACCGGAAATCAATGAAAATCCGAGGGGCCTTGGAAATGGCTTCCGGAAAAGGAGCACGTATTGCAAAATCGACGATTTTGGCGCTTTTGTGGGGTTCCCCCCATTTCGGGCCTTGGAAGCCCGAAATCCGTGAAAATCCGAGGGGCCTTGGAAATGGCTTCCGGAAAAAGAGCACGTGCTGCAAAATCGACGACTTTGGTGCTTTTGTGGGGTTCCCCCCCCATTTCGGGCCTTGGAAGCCGGAAATCCGTGAAAATCCGCGGGGCCTTGGAAATGGTTTCCGGAAAAGGAGCACGCACTGCAGAATCGACGACTTTGGTGCTTTTGTGGGGTTCCCCCCCATTTTAGGCCTTGGAAGCTGCAAATCCGTGAAAATCCGAGGGGCCTGGGAAATGGCTTCCGCAAAAGGAGCACGTACTGCAAAATCGACGATTTTTGTGCTCTTGTAGTGTTCCTGCCATTTCGTGCCCTGGAAGCCGGAAATCCGTGAAAATCCGAGGGGCCTTGGAAATGGCTGCCGGAAAAGGAGCACGTACTGAAGAATTCGACGACTTCGGCGCTTTTATGGGGTTCCCCCCATTTCGGGCTTTGGAAGCCGGAAATCCGTGAAAATCCGAGGGGCCTTGGAAATCGCTTCCTGAACAACAGCACGTACTACAAAATCGACGACTTTGGTGCTTTTGTGGGGTTCCCCCCATTTCGGGCCTTGGAAGCTGCAAATCCGTGAAAATCCAAGGGGCTTTGGAAATGGCCTCCGGAAAAGGAGCACGTACTGCAAAATCGACGATTTTGGTGCTTTTGTGGGGTTTCGCCCTATTTCGGGCTTTGGAAGCCGTAAATCCGTGAAAGCCTTACAAAAGCACGAAAATGGTCGATATTGTAATACCCGGTCCTCTTCCAAGCGCAATTTCCAAGGCCCTAGGGATTTCTTGGATTTCCGCCTTCCAGAGCTGTCAAACGATAAGCTTGAAGGGCCGAGCGGGCCCTACCATGCCGAAGGCCCGAAAAGGGCCGAGGCTACTCCCAGCCATTGCCTAAACCACAAATTCAACAACTGGAAGGTTCATGGCTGGAAAAATATCAATTAAAAAACCCTAAACCCTAATAGAGTATAGTTTGGGTGGCCGGGGTGGGTTTACAAGCAACGCGAGAGCGCGGCCCGGGGTGCTTCACACCCGAGCGCGCGACCTCGCCAGACACACCCTAAACCCTAAACCCTAATCCCTAAACCCTAAACCCTAAACTCGAAGATCTCAGATGTAAGCCATGTAAATCCAGCAACCTCGTTTGGCAGCCTGCAGCCCTCCGCCCATCTCCACCTCTTTGGAGGTATTCCCAAACCCTAAACACAAAACCTTAAAACCAAAGAGCCGTAGTGCCTACGCCCCGAATTTGCCGGCCGAAGCATCGTAGAAGCGAAGCTGCTGAAGATCTGAAGGCCAGCTTGCCTGCATTCTGCTACCTTAGTCCAACAGAGTCTTCTGCTGGACTGTGCAGGAACCAGGGAGAAAAAAGTATCAACTCCATTCTGTCATAATCGTACGTCCCCTTAAGGAACGAGTCCTTAAAAAGGCTTGAAGCATGGTACTCCAGAACACATGCTTCAGCGTTTCAATTTTTGGGGCCTCGGCACCGGGTAGCTTGAACACGTGGAAGGTAGGGAGCCAGAGTAGCAAGCAGGGTTTCTATGATAGGAATTACTACTATGGCTTGGGTAAATATTCGCCATAAAAGTACCTGCGCTGGATTCTTGCAGCCTAAAGCATGCAAAGTAAATCCTGGTGTCCAAGCGACCAGGGATCAGCATGGAAGGTGTCGCCTTGTCCTCCTGCACAGGCTTTTGACGGAGTTTAACTGGTTTCGGGCTTAGTTCTTAGGGTTTGTGTAGGGTTCAAGGCTTTTATAGGATTTCCACAGAGTCTAGGGTCTATATGGGTGGTTGTCAAAATTATGGTTCCTTTTTGGGTACCCTAAGTAATAGGTGCCGTAATATAATAGGGACCCCAAAAGGGACCCTAATTTTGACAACCACCCATATAGGGTTTCTACAGGATTTTCGGGCTTCAGAGGTGCAGGGCTTGGTGTACGTGGGATTGATAAACCTCTTGTGGAGCCCAAAAACTCCAAAAATCCTGAATTAAAGACTACACCTTAAGTCATGTTAGGGTCCCTATCAAAATTTAAGGTATATTCCTTTATTGAGGGATTTTGGAGTTTCTGGGAGCCCTTTGATAAATCCGCGCATCTGTGGGCCAGCGTCCTTCAGCTTCTTGCGGCTCGACCCGTTCGTAGCGGATACTTCTCCAAACCTGGATGTGGGTAGCTCTATCTTAGGGTCCCTGTTGGGGTGCTGTTTGTAAGGGTGCCGTACAAGGGACCATCATTTAGAGAATTATCTATGTGGCGAAGTTTCGGGGCTCAGGGGTCTTTGCGATTTTGAGGTGCAGGGTCTACAAATACATGGGTGGTTGTCAAAACTAGGGTCCCTTTTTGGGTACCCTAAATAATAAGTGCCGTATTATAATAGGGACCCAAAAAGGGACCCTAATTTTGACAACCACCCACATGAGGTGCCAGCAGCAGCAATATCGGGGGTGTCGCCCAATGATCTCGGAGTTTTTCAATACGTTCCTCCAAACTCCTGCAAGGGAGGACAAGTAGCTACCAGGAACATCTACCAAAGGCTGCCAAAGCATCTCTCGAACCACGTGAAGTAGTACTTTCCAACTGCAGCATCCCACTTCCTAGACACAACAAGCCCACAACAAAAACCGAAGCCTATGAGAAACACTGCAAAGCCGACCGTCAAACTCATCGCCGCGGAGTCAGCCGTGCGGCGGATTAGCTGCAACGCCGACCGACCCGCCGCGTTGGCGGTGTCCACGCCTGTGAAGCTGGAAGTGTTGAGGGTTTAGGGTCTGCGGTTTCGGTCTGGTTCAGCGCAGGTTCGGGTTTGAGGTTACGGTTCAAGATCAAGGGTTCTGCAAGACCTTCTTATTGAATAAGCTAACCCAAGTAAGAGTATGATCTCCCCAACTATACCTGGGTCCCCAGCAGGCCTTAGGGCAAAGATTTCTGCCTCTGTGTTCCTTCGAAGGGAACCCCAAGCCAAGAATGGAGAAAAAGGTAGTGCAGGGAAGCCTAGTATAACTGAATGCTTCAATACACATTTGACTTCAAATCAACCCAAAAAAAGACCCTTACATAGACACCCGCGCAAGAGACCGTAATATAGGCCCTAGTGCAGACCCGATATAAGCGCCAGGGGCCCTAGTGTAGACCGTAACAGCGACCGCAGTTGAGACTTCAGGAACTCCAGATCAACAAACCACGAGACCCAGCCCCCCAACCCTACGCCTCAACAGCCTAAACCCTAAATCATCCTAAACCCCCAAACCTTAACCCCCGAACCCTAAGCTCTAAACCCTAAAACCCTCGACGCTTCAGACCTTCTTGTTGCTCCGGCCCACCCTACAGCCTGAACCCCAAATCCTACTCAGGGGACGCAGTAAGGAGATAATCCTACTTAGAGTCTTAAGGGACGCTGTAAGGAGGTGAAAAGGAGGGTGATAAGCAGGGCATCCCTAAATAGTGTACTTGTGCGCCGGAGAATAAGCTACAACCTACCCTGATCCTTCAACGAGCGCTTTGGCCCAGCGGTTGCAGTAGCGCCCTCCGAGACCTGTTGAAAGTTACCATGCTCGGGTCATGCAGTAACCAACGTGCTCCCCTTAGTATGGCAACATAAACTAAGCAACGCACACGTCTTAACAATGATCGTTTATTAGCCTCATCAAAACCCGTTTAAACCGCTCTTGACTTAAGTTGACTCAAAAGTTTATCAACCTCATCAAAAGTTAACCCCGTTTAGAACACTATTGACTTAAACTCTTGCTTGAGACCACGAGGCACCACGTGGCTTGGATGCGGATGGAGGCCACTTCTTCGGCATCCTCCAGCGATCTCCTGGCTGAGTGCCAAAGGCACGTAGGCTGTAAGGGCTTTCTGGGCGTTTATAGGGTTTTTAAGCTTTTTCCGCCAGAATCAGGTCATCCAGAAAGATGACCGGAATCAATGGATTGGGGTCTCTTTGACATGCGGTAGCTTGCCTGATTCATGGGCTTTGGGCTTTCAAGGTAGGTAGGTGGTGTTTTCCTTGCAAGCACCTATGAACCTTCCAAACGGCCTGAGTCCCACCCCGAAAGGAGCCGGGGCAGACCGCGAACGAATTTCGTGCGGCGTCTCTTCTGGACCATGCGGGTAGTTCTCTGAATTAAGGCCCTTTCTGCGGTCCCGCTGAATAATACGACATCCTTTTTCTTCTAAACTCAAATTTACAGAACTACTTATGTGGCCCTGTTTAGCCCCGCCAGACCCCCTCCGCCCTGCCCCCAACACGCACGGCAACGAACCCGTGATGTTATGTACGGGCCTCAAAATTTCGAACTGCATTGCTGTTGTTCAGATCACCCAAACAAAAAACATACACAAAACTATTCCCAAGGGCCGCGTAAAGTCTTAAAGAATCCGATTAGCACCCGAAATAAAATCCGTAGTATAAAGCCCAATGGGCTTCCTCGCAAAAGCCAGCTCCACTCGTTCGGCTGCAAGAGCAGACCCTGTCCAGTGCTACCACTGTTGAGCTTGGGCTTGAGAGTTTTTGGTAAAGCGCGCTGGCTTGGCTCTTCCGTCTGCCAACACCGGCTGTCCCCTAAAAAAAGCTTGAGGGTTCAGCTTAGGCCTCAGGGTTCAGGAGTAAGAATTCAACATGTAAGCCTTTGGCAAGGCGCATGGCCGTGGCACAGCGTAAAAGGCTCAATGCTTGAGGAGCTGGCAAGAGGCGTCACTTCGTTTGAGTGCCTGTTTGTATACCTCAAACCCTAAAGCTTTCAGCTTATCTGCTTTGGTGTAATAGCTCTGTTGTCTTTATTGGCGCCGCACGCTGAAAGCCGCGCCTTCCCCTGGGCAAACCCCTTAGCCAAAGGCACGCTCGTTATAGACTACCGTGCAAGCTCTAGAGCCGGACCTTTTGCGGATCTCTCTGCAGTTGGAGAACATGCGAGTGTCTGCGCACTTAGATAACAAAACAGCGGGAATCCACGTGCAGCCTGTTGAACCAGGTACTGTATAACAGCTTATCATCAATCTACAACCAAAATCATATCTGCAAGGCCAGCAATAATATGTCCAGCATATAGTAAAGTACATACTGCAGACACTTATATATATATATATTTTCTGTGTATATATATATATATATATAAACAAAACCTGAATCAGGCTGCCGGGCAAGGTCCGTGTTGCGTCGCCAGCCATACACCACTGCTTCCAAAAGACAGGCAGAGCGCACTACACCAGCACTATGCTCGAGGACTCAAGGGGATTGTGACTGTGCAAGTATAATGCTTCTTAGTCGTTGACGAGACATTGCGTCCGAGTCTCTTAGTGCTCGTGGATCCAACTCCTCAGCTGCAGAGGCTTTGCTGGGATTATGACGGGGTTTGAAGCTTGCTCTTGCTATCTTCGTTAATATCATCATTATTGCTTGCATTAGTCATAGTCATGGTGTCAGCATTGGTATGAGTGTTCGTACTATGACGGGCTTCGTAGGGTTTACTAAGGCTACGAAGGGTTTGTTACAGGGTTTGATGTCGGAGGTTTGCAAAGGTGCCGACCCATAGACCTCAAACCCCTGAAGTAGGAGTTTGGGGGTATTCACTAATTTTCCTGACGGGATCTTCCGGGTTTCTTGGTTCTGATTGCTTTTGGCTAGGCGTGGGTTGAGGGCTTAGTTTCGGGAAGTTTAGAGGCTCCGGCTGTGGCATTCCTGGTCTATCTTTCTGCCTGAGTGGCCTCTCAATAGTAAGAGTATCCTTTTCACCACTGTTTGGTTTTAGTAAAGGAACCCGAAAGGAAAAAAGGGCAAAGGCGTACTACTCAGGAACCCAACTGGGGCTACATATTCCCCAGTTTGGTGAAGCTCTCCTCAGGAACCTAGCTATTGACGGTTGAGTTTTGAGTGGGCTAGTGGATCTTGACTCCGCCTCACGAAGCGATGCTCGGCGCATGCCATGACCATTCATGAAGGGCTTGGAAAGATCGTATCAAGCCACACAAACATTATTATACCTGTACAACACACTAGAAACAACTTACAAGACCCAATACAGACTTGCAAGACGGGTTGAAACACTTTAGCACGTGTAACCGGCAAATAAAAGACTCCTAAAACATTCGTGATAATAAAAACAACAAATGACCTTTCTAGAACTCGTGAAAAGTCAGGCATACTCATACAAACACCTTTTAGAACTAGATAAAAATTTTTGCCAAACTCATCAGCACACCTCCAAAACTGATCAACACACCTTCTAAAACTCATACGAACCTATGTAAACCTCAATGAAACCACCGTAAAAAACGTCATTCAAACCCACCTAAACTCAGACAGTCCTTCCAACAAACATTAAAAACGCTTCTAAGATTCGTCACAACCCGTCATATTCTCATCAAAAGCCCTTTCTCGCAGATCTCAAAAATCCTTCTGGAAGTTCTCAAGACACCCTTTGATGAACTCCGTTGAAACCACCAGCTCTTTGTGGTATATTTTAGTATCTTATAGTGTGTTATGTCATATCTCCCGTACAGTACCTTTAGTACTAAGGGCCCCAAATTAGGGGTTCTACTTTCTAGATCCTCCACTTAGAGGATCATGGGACTTAGTAAGTCAGGTTTCAAGTAGGGTATTATCAAGACAACCCAACTTAGGGGACTTATAATCCCTGTTATGACCTACTTGCTAAGTCCCATGATCCTCGAAGCAAAGGGGGTCTCCGAAACACCTTAACTAAGGAAATATACCTTAAACTATAGTAGGATCCCTAATATGATTTAAGGAATATTCCTTAACTAAGGGGTTTTGGAAGCTCTGGGAAGAGGTTCTGGGTAGCTCAGGAAACTCCTGGGAGGGAGATAATAGTATACCTTATAGTGTATTTTGCTCTCGGATAACCCCACTTAGGGGACTCATAATCCCCATTATAACCTACTTACTAAGTCCCGTGATCCTCTAAGCAAAGGGGGGTTTGGGTAGCTCAGGAAACTCCTGGGCCGAAGCTCCGAGGCATTTCTTCCCGCGACCTTCTCCAAGCGATCGCCGGGACGCAGCCCTCGGTCGGCCCCACGGGGGGGGACTTAGAAAGGGTTCTTAAGAGCTCTAAGAGTTCTTAAGAGCTCTAAGAATTCATCAGGCTTGTAAGGGTTCTGGGGGTTGGCTCTGACATGTCTGTAAGGTTTTTGTAGGGGTTGAAAGGGTTTGCGGGGTTTGGTTGGGCTTGCTAAGGGTTTTATGAAGGGCGGGCTTTCGGGCTTTCGAAACTGTTACGCAAGCCTTGCCGAACCCCAAACCCACCTTTAACAACACCGAAAACAAGTAATTACCGGCCGGCCCATGACATCCAGGGAGGAGAGGTTCCTTGAAGGGTTCCTTTAAGAGTTCAACACTGCTGGGAAGTATGAGGCGGCTCGGTAAGTCAGGTTATCAACCTTATCGGGGTTATGAGTAATTGTAAGTACGCGTATGATTGTTGGGGTACAAGTACCATAACTGGTTTTTGTAAGTAACTAGGGCCCCACTTGAAGGGCCAGGGGACTTAGTAAGTGGCTATTTTATCAGCTTGCAAGTATCATAACCCTAATTAGGATCCCCGTTAGGGTACCTATATCTCTAGTAGAGTTACCTACTTACGAAGTCCCCCGACCCCAAGAACCCTGTAGAGCCCTCAAGCCCCGGGTATCATTGGAAGTTTGGCTGTTTAGGGCTTAGGGCTTAAGGTTTGGGCTTTAGGGTTTGCAGATGTTAACGTTTAAGTTTAGAGCCTAGGTTTTGGGCACCCTATAAACGTCTTACCAAATATACCGGTGGGCCCAAGTAGGGATCAGCCCTAATCCAACCCCCAAGCCCGAACACATAAAAAACCCTGTGTGCCTCAGCTACTTGATGTATTGGCCTTCATGGGCAAATAAAAAGTACAATAGGGAACCCGAAGGAGCAATGTTGGTAATTTTCCAGGCTTCTGTGTTGGCTACTTGTCTTACAGTTCCCTAGCCCTCCGCGTCCCAAGGAGCCGAAGTAGGCGGCCAGACTCGAGCGCTTCACGGCCAGGGCCAGGTACGTCCGCGAGGCCCTCCGGTGCAGGGTTTAGGGTTCTAGTCAAAATTCAAAAAGGGTTCCGTAATTGCTAAAGAATGGCCCTTTACAGGCTCTACCAACAGGATTCCCCACTCTCAGTGTCCACAACAAGTGTTCGTACGTCGGTCGGGGGGGCTTCAACAGTTCTACTAGAAGGTTTTGCTCCCTGTCGTGGATTTAAAGAACCACCCGAGAACGATTTCGGGACTTTGCACCGTCTTTCATGTGCTTATGCACATGTGTGTATAATTATAATCATATAGGAGTGTTTGTTAGTATTAATATTATTCTTCTTCTTATTGTTAATCCTGTTGTTGTTACTAGGTTATGTCCAAGAAGGGTTAGGGACACTGAAGCCTAAGCCGAAAGCCGGAGCTCATGAAGGAGGGCCCCGGCTGAGAGAGCAAGACCTAGAAACCCGAAGGACTAAACTCTACCTGTACTTGGAGGTTCATGGTTAGTTATATGTCGGGTTGTAAGTCCCCGAATAGGGGTTATAACTATACTTAGCCTACTTATATCCCCACATGTAACTACCCATGAACCTCCAAGTAGCCGCAAAGACCTACCATAATAGGGCTCCTTCTTACGGTGTCTATACATTGCTTCCAAAAAAAATGGTATATCTTTTGGGCCAGCCACAGGTAAGCCCTGAATTAGGTGTCGGTTTCAACAGTCGCCAAAATAATCTATAGTTAGGGCTCTACCTTAAGCCATACGGGAATTTAAAAATGTGTACAATCGGTACCTAGTAAATGCAGCACCGCGTACGTAGGGTCTGGATTTGTCGGAATTTAGCCTCGCATCCGCTTACAGGCTAACAGCCCATACATATAACTACTGGCTTATGTTCACCCAAACCTTCTTTTAATCTTGCAATCACCCGTGCAGTGTTCGACCCTAAACCCTAAGCCCGATTTTCCTACCCTTGATGCCCAAGATGCTATACAACCCTGAAAACCCCACTCAACACATTCATAGGAACAACCTGTATCAAGACAAAACCCAAATTAGGGTTGAGGGTTTATATTTTCAAAAAACACATTTACTTGGAACTACTCACACCACTGTCAAAGAGCACAAAAGATGGTTACGTTGAGACAAAGCTTCATTTTAGGATACTCTGTCTGGGACATGATCGGAGGGACCTTATTCCGACCTCCGGCAGGACATGATCATGCCAAACACAAAAAGCCCTTAGATGGGCCTTTTGAAAACCTGCAACAGATACCTTTATCTAAGAATCAAGACCTCTGTGTTGAACCATACAGAACCCATACAAAGCCCTGTAAAGCAAGCCCAACGAAAACAGTAAAACAGCTCTATTCTCATACGCAAAGCCCCAAGCTGCCCACCCCTGAACCCTGAATCCCTAAACCCTAAGTCCCTGCAGCCTAAACCCTCAGGGCCGGACATGAGTGTAAATGGGGGAAACTCGTGAAGCCGCAGGTCCATCCTCTAGAGATATAGGGCTGGCTCTTGAATTTGTGCTTACGGGGGGATGAAGGCTCCATTATGTGGGGGCCCTAAGCCCTAAGTGCTTAGAAGGAAGTATAAGGGTTTACTTTTAAGTTCGCTTCTTTTGGTGGTGGCAACGACTTACCGCGTGGAAGACTCCGAAGCGCAGCATCCTTCACACGCACGGCTCCCAACAACGAGTACTTCATTCTCCAAGCAGTACCCCATCAACAAATCTGCCTCCAGGTCCAGCAAAACGTCCACAAAATGGCTGACGCCGTGCTGCTGGCTTCTTTGATCCAGCCGGGCCAGCACAGCAATAAAGCTTCGCTTCATCTGCAAGCGCCTGATGTCGTAACAAAATGAATCAGAAATATATAGTTTACAGACATGCACGAAGCCACACACTGAGTTGCGCACACGCTTCTGCATTGCGTTACTTGAGATTACAGATTTCATGTCAAAGTAAACAAGGATTGTGGACTGCCAGATCACAAGATCACACGTGTGCGCCAACACATGCACCAGCATCAGCTTTGAGGCAGCCACTCCGCAGCTCACTCTTTGCCGCCTCGTTGGCAGGCTTAGCCCCAAGTCTCCTGCGTTTTGAACACAGCATATGGCTTGGCATGAAAACAACATATTCACGCCTGCCCAACTTCTCTGCTTCCGGCTTAAGCAGTGCCAAGAGGCCGAGACAGCCTGGCAAAACGATTGCGACGAACAAACCGGCCAAGCTGCACGGGAAAAACCGTGGCACTGTTGCCATCACATTCTTCGTTGCCCGAGCTCACCTGGCAGATACGCAGACCGTCCACACACTTCCCTAATGAAGCAAGCCCTTGCAAGTTGGAGGCGACCAGCCTCCGCGTCCGAGGGTGTGCACTTTCCGCTGCGGAAAAGTAGTCTGACTCGGCGGGCTCCTGGAACTTGCGCTTCAGGTCCTGAAGCACCGCAACGAAGCATCACACAACTTCAAAAACTGGGTCATATGTGCTTTTGGCTGGAGGCCCCGGGTGCGAGGCTTCCCCGACGCGTTGACCGCGCAAGCCGAGAAGGCCAGCACGGTCCTTTGAAATCAAGAAGCGCGCGGCGCAGCGTAAGACGAAAATTTAAATGCGGGAGCAATCTGAGAGAGCCACGTGGCGTGACGGCACAAAACACGAGCGGCAAAGCTGCAAGAGGCTCTGCGTGCATGTGCACATGCACAGACCCACCGCACTGAGATCAAGGCAACTTGCGTGTTGGGTTTGCAGCCAAAGCCCACCTACACAACAGAACATTCTCTCAAGCGTGTTCTCGCACATCCAAACATTGAGGCAATGAACCACTCCGGAAACTCCAGTCAGAGGGCCGTATCTAGCTCGTAGCAGGATGCCACGCCACACCTTTCTCGTTTGCCAGGCCTGATCGCCAAAAACGGAACCACCAACCAACTGAGCGTCTTATGACCAAGAACAAGCATCTGCCTTGACGGCACTTGTCTTTCATGAAGCTAGCCTCGAAACCCGGGCAGTGAATTCCACTCACGCCCATCCCTTACAGACTTGAAAAGCTAAGCCCAGGACATTGGCAAAAGGTCTTGCAGATGGCAGCATCGAAGAGATCTGAGCACGCTCCCCTCAAAACGCGAAACCCATCACACCATCTTCACAACTTTGAATTTCCATAAAGGAGTTGCAGAAGCCTCTGCGACCAAGGCAAACGCACGTTCAATGAACCAACCCTCCAAAACAACATCGTTGCCACGAGTCCGAGAGACCTACAAACAGCTACACGTGTGACAAGAGTGAACATTCTGACGCCATGGTAAGCCGCTACAACCCTTGCCGGAACCACCGTTGGTCGACGTGCTGCAGGTGCTACCTCACAACTGTTGATGGCACGACGCATTACCAAAACCGACCAAACAGAAACCGCCAAGGGTTCAGCACTGGGCCAGCATCTCAACAGCATCAAGCGCAACAGAAACTCAATTAAGTGTCACACAAGGTGATCCGGTTAGCCATCACTGCCACGGAGTCTTATAGAAAACAGCGCGTCGCCGGCATCAACCACAAGCAGAATCACCATGTACTCGCAGCCGCAGCTAGACAGACAAGCCTCGCCCTTCTTGAACTTCTTGACAGCTCTGCCATCTGGCCATCGTGTTTTCGCGAAACATACGCTGCTTTGACTGCGGTGGCTGGGGATCACACCTTTATGCGTGGAACCTGGAACAGTAAAATTATATAGAGTACGCGTATGGCGCAAACGCTTAGCACGAATTCCCACCTGCAACGCTCTTAAAAAAGTTGCCCTCGGGGGTTCAGGGTTTAGGGGCGGTGAGGGCTCCCATTTGACACAGGCTTAGAAGGACGTATACGGACTTTAAGGTTTTGTTGTGGGATGTTTAAAGTTTATGGCTTTAGGTTTATTACCTCAAAACTTTACCCTGGTTCTCTTCAAATCATTAAGGTCTCCATGGTACTAGGTAAGCCAGATCGGCAGGAGAACGGCGCCAGCTGTGCGAGCGGCTTGAAGGGGGGGGAAGAAAAGCTTGCGCCGGCCGGCAGAAGATGGGTCTCGCGCAGCACTTCAAGGCCGCGTTGCGGGTCGAACCTTCCTGAAATCCTCTTGGCGCCGGCGACACCTCGATGCCTCATGCTCTGTCAGCACAGCGAGGTCTACGCAAGGGGCTTTGCAAAACCGGCCGTTGGCGTTGAAGTGCAGCAATTTTCAGGGGTCGCCACAAGCCGTCCACTCTCAGTTGCAAAACCATAAACATGAAGCCGTGAAGCTTCAGCGAGGGGCTCTTCCCCGGAGTGTTCCTGCACTTATGTGGCCTTGAATCGAATCGCCAACAAATAACATAACAAACACATAGTCTGAAAATTACGCTGAGGAGAATGAACAACAGCAGAGGCATTCGACATGATGCTGTTGACGTGCATGTTCTTGCTTAACCTTCAGAAACTCGAGGCCTTACTAATCAGCATAGGGACAGAGTAGAATAGGGCTTTGGGGTGTATTATACTAATTATACATAAGTTCATGTTCAAGAACCCTAAGAGATAGTCCTACTAACTCCTGCCAAGCAGCTCATAAGTGGGGCAACCGGAATTAGGGTACCCATCACCCCTATGGACAACTGCTTACGAAAGACCCTGATCTTTCCAGCACTCCTAGGGTCGATATACTAGAAATACTAGAAGCCTCTAACCTCTGGGTTTACACTCTTCTTGATCCGTCACCCGAAAGCCTAAAGAACACTACACCCAAAATGAAGAAAAGTACATGGGCTTTCCCAAGTCCTCTTTCGCGGCAAAGCGAATAGGAGGGGCCCACCTCTGTACCATCCGAGATCGCGAGGGCTTAGGTTTTCGCTAGAGGGCCTTCTCTCACATTCCAGGCTTTGTAGCTTCAAGCTTGCTGGGTTGAAGTGGTCTGACGGTTTAGGGTTTAGGGTTTAGGGGTTTGGGGTTGGGAGATTATTTTGGGCTGAGGGTTTGCGGGTGTACGGTTGGAGAGTGTAGGGCTGGAGGGTTGAAGCTTTAGAGCTAGGTCTGCTCGGATCAGGACAGCACCCACGCCTCTAAAACCTACAACCCCTAAATCACACGGAGTAGTGCCAAAAATTCAGGCCCCCTGCATGAACATCCCTCATAATTACAATAAGAAGCCCCCCAAACCCTATTCCAATTATTAAGATCCCTACCCTAAAACTCTCTTCTTCAACAACCGAGCCCCAAAAAGTTGTAACTTTCTAAGGTAGACCTAATATATAAGGCCAAAACGTTTAAAGTTCCCCCGAACACTACCTAAGAAAACACCCAAACTCCCGAACCCCCCGGCCTCCCTCGCGGAGGGCGTCCTTCGCAGCTCTGCGCCTCCTCCGCGCCCGCAGTCTTCGGCCGACCTCGTGAGCTCTTTGGCCCAGAGAGCCCAATACCTCTTAATTAAGGAATATGGCTCAAATCATATAGGGCTTCCTTTTATGATTTAAGCTATATTCCTTAATTAAGGGGTATTGGGCTCTCTGGGGGGCTCAGCATTTTTCGATTTTTAAAGGTTCATTTGTTTAGGGTTTAAGGGCTTTTGGGGGCAGGGGGTGTATCGTTTAAGGTTCAGGGGTTTAGGGGCTCCGCATTTTTGGAGTTTAGGTTTTAGGGGTTGAGGGTTTTGGGGTTTGGGCCTTAGGGTTCAAGGGCTTCTGTTTAGGGGTGTATGGGATGAGGTTCAGAGGGTTTAGAAGCTCTTTAATCGGACATTTAGAAGAGCTTTAAATGGGGTCTTTCGGGGGGCTTGGAAGTCTCAAGGGGGTTAAAGAAGGGCTGCAGAGGGGGCTCTTAATGGCGTGTTACTTCATGTTGTTATGGGGTTTGTACAGAATTGTTCTACAGCCCGGAGATTAACGTCAAAGGGTTTAGGGTTCAAGATTTTCCGGAAACCCATACCCTCCAAGCCTTAAACCCCTAGACAATGAAGGTTTCAGAGAATTAAGGGCTCCTGTTGAAGGCCCTGAAAAATATTTTGCTAGTAAACGCATATACTATAGTCCAAGTTTTCTGAAACTCACACATGACAGCAATATAGGAGCACCAATGATTATAAGTCAGTTTTAATGTAATATACCTCCCCCCCGCACACTTTTCATTATTCAGGACTATCTCTTTGCATTGCTTGTTATAGTTCAATTATACCCCAAAAGCCTGGTTCTAATTTACTACCCGTATGCTAGCATCTCTTGACAAGCAGCAGCCTGGATTTTCTGAGCAGCAGCATCCTTCACGGTTGAAGATTTAACATTTTTTTTGTTCGGGTTGTGGGTGTTGTGTTTGGAACTTTCTTACCACCTTACCTCGTAACAACTACTTGAAATGAGCGTCCATAAACCTCCAAGTACGAGTCTCTGCCATTCTCTGGCTTTTGGTGTCGGTACTGCAATTCTCTGCTAAGCCCTTGATTGCAGACTTCACGGTTCATTGACAATCTTAGCTGAACCTAAGCTTCTATGAAATCCTTGTACATACTATACGCGCTGTTATGAGGAATGTTACTGAACTTGCGGCAACGTTATTGAAGGTGCAGCGCTGCAGGATAAACGGCTTAGGGCTTAGGGCCCAGCAAACCCTAAGCCCTTCGAGCCCACAGCGAGAAATCCGACAACCACCTCACACCCGAAGCCACCCAACACCCCCGTTCATGATGCCAGTGCGAACAGTAACATTGATCATGATAGTACTGATATGACTAATGGTATTAATGTACGTTTCTCTCATACCTTCTGTATAGTTGCTCTCGGCTCCTGCGTGAGTGCCGCGTCTTTCGCCTCCACACCGGGCTCTGCCATACCT